GTATATGCCTTGGAAGAAGAGGAAATGGATTTAGCCTGTATCTATCTAGTTTCTGCCACACAGAGCTTAAGTGATTGTGATACAATAAATAAGTGCAGATCTGGGACTCAAACCCATGTCAGTTGGACTCCAAGGCCAAGCTGTTAAAAACACATCTATCTATCCTCCCTTTTACTCCCCTTACTCATCAGGTTTTGCTGTTGTTTGTTTTGTCTTTTTGTATATTTACTACAGCCGTACTGTGAAGGGAAGGTTATAATCTGGTCTTTGTCAGGAAGACTCGTGGCCTGATTAACGGCCAGGCTGAAAATGGATTATCTGAAAGACAGAAAAATGGATGCTGTGAGACTTCCTCTATGAAACCATAAAAGCTCCCTCTTCATGGCAACAGCGCAGGGGTGCTGTTCCTGCTTCACCAATTCCTGCCAGATAGCATGAGGCCACATTAGACTAAGGACTTTGGACCTTACCCTGTGGCCAGCTTGTTTATGTGCTCTTAGCTGGATGCCTTTAAACTGCACATGTAGTCTCCCTTTGGTGTATAGGAGGGCCTTATGCTTGTGTAATAAGCATAACTTTATTTTACAAGCTTAGGAGTGCAAGAGATGTACTTTTTTTGGGGGAGGAAGTTCGGCCCTGAGCTAATATCTCTTGCCAATCTTCCTCTTTTTGCTTGAGGAAGATTGTCCCTGAGCTAACATCTGTGCCAGTCTTCCTCTATTTTGTATGTGGGATGCTGTCACAGCATGGTTTGATGAGCAGTGTGTAGGTCTGTATCCGGGATCTGAACCTGTGAACCCCAGGCCGCTGAAGCGGAGCATATGAACTTAACCACTATGCCATCGGCCTGGCCCTGATATGTACTATTTTTATTGAAGTATAATTGACATACAATATCCTATTGGTTTCAGGTATACATCATAGTCATTCGATGTTTATACACATTACAAAATGATCACTATGATAAGTACAGTTACCATCTGTCACCATACAAAGTTTTTATATTATTGACTATAATATTATAGTCAATAATAAATATAACATTTAAAAGGGAACCCTTTTAAATATTTCTTTAACTCAAATGATCATACTTCATTAATTCTAATACACACCTTTTCATATGTTAACATCTCCGAAATCAGGATCTTATAATTGATGGCATCCTTGAAGCACTATTTGCCAGGGGACAGTGCTGACATAATTGGTGTTGCCTGTGCATGTTTGAACTTGGTCATAGGTATTCATATTATTGTCCCTTCAGTTGAATTATATGCATTGTTGGTACTACCCGTGTTGAGTTTAATTGCTGTTTAAAGTATTTTCAAAAAGATCATTCTAAGTTTCAGTATTGAAATGAAAGTTATAATTAGCAGAAAGGAAACGGAGCAGTGGGGTGCAAATATTAGTAAAGCAAATTCTTTTGTTTTTGAGAAATCACTGCAAAGCAACAACCCCATACGGGGTAATAGAGATAGATCGCTACAAGTATGTGAAACTCTGACACATTTTGTTACTGTGTTATATAAAAAGACATTGCCTGTTAGTACATGCCAAGCAAGAATGCACCCACATCAAACCTTTCAAAATGGGTGGCAACATCTTGGAAGAATACTTGGAGCCAACAGTGGGGGCACTTGTAAGAAATGTTTCATCATCAGCGTGGAGGACAATACTGTGCAGAAAAATACGAAGACTGAATCAGAAGAGTTTGAGATTCTGAATGTGAAGATAATTTCACGAATTTTTTAACCAATTTATTTTCCTTTTTATGTATACACCAGAGTGCTATATAATAAAAGTCTATGTCCTGATAAGTCTAGAAGAGTTTTTTCAGCAAGTATAAAATAAAAATGCTAAGTGATGAGAAAGCATTGTTTCATACATTAAGTGGCGTCTCTCTTTGCTAGTGGTACACAAATTAATGATGCGTTTTACAATCAATGGTTTCTTAGTACCAATGAAATAACTACTTTGTCTTTTGAGCTCCCATTCCTTTGGGTATTAGAAATTAAGTTTCAGTCAGTTCAGCAACCCCTCTCCCCGTGTGTACATTGCATTTCCTCAGGGCTTCCGTATGGCTACGATTTAGACTGGAGGCAGTGCATTTCTTGAGCATAATTTTCTGTCTGTGCTGGCAGCCATGGAGATGTCCATTCTGCCTGATCCTGGTCATCAGGTCACGCAGACCATTGCTGGGTCCTTTCTGTTCTCACCTCAGGGCCCTTTCAGAGCTAGATGGCTCTTTCTGCTAGTTCAAGAGGGCTTGGGGTACACCTCCCTGGACACAGAAACTCTGAGGCTGATAACGCCCTGGACCGCTCAGTGGGCTCTCCGGAGCATGAAGGGTGTTCTGCCCCTACGCATCCTGTGGCGTGGCTGGGTATAGGGTGGAATTCACTCCTTCCAAGCTACTTTTAAGTGTGCAAGAGTCTAACTTCCCTTCTGTATCATTCGGAATGGGGAAACTGAGCATCTGTTTTGGGCTGCTTACATCTGCCATGCCATCTTTTCTACTCTGGCATCTGGAAGCCTCCCTGTTCTACCAGGGAAAGGGGTACAAATACCTCCAAGCCTGTGTGAGATTTCTAGCCTTTCCCCTCCCATTCCTGCACAATCAGGGGAGGTGGCTGGGCTGCAGAACCCATCACTGGGGACCCACCAGGGCCCAAGCTTTCCTAGCTTCCTCTCCAAACACTCCCTTCGTCCTAGTCTGGGCAATGCTTTCAAATCTTGAGGGCCAGCAAGCCTCTCTTTTAGTTCGTGCCCCAAATTCTTCCAGCTTCTCAGAGGCTTTGGGCTCTAAAACCCAAGCCAAGAACAGATTTGTGGTTTTCCCTACTTTCTGAACACGTGTCTCAGAACACACAACTGACCGACCGGAAGAAAGATCTGGTGAAAAGAAAAACAAGAAGATCACACTGGCAAACATCTCAAAATACTGTCCCAATGCCAGTTCTCACTGTGGTTACCCTTTCACCTTTATTTTAACGTGTTCTTTTAGGCCCATTTCTTACATTGTTGATTTTCTGCCCCCCATCTTAGCAGCCTGGTGCCTGATTTCAATGACGCCTCAGATTTATTTTCTCTGATCACCAAAGAAACCAGGGTGAAGGGACAGCCACTTTCTCCCCCATGCCCTCCTCCTCCTCCTCCTATTGTTATAATATGAAGTTTATAATTTTTGTTCCATTACGGAGAGTCAGTAACATCAGACAAGTTAGAAGGAAGGAAAAAAAAATCACATATAACCTCACTATTCTAAGACATCCACTGTTTGGTGACGTTTTGATGTTTCTCCTTCAAGTTGGTTTTTACTGCTTACTTAGTTTGTATATATTTTTGTGTAGTTAACATTGTGTCAAACACAAACCCGTATATCCTGCTTTGTTCATTCAACACTATGGTTGGCTATTTTTCCTTATTACTAGAAAGTCTTTAGAAACATTAGTTAAATGTAGCAGTTTACTCAAAAATTTCCCTAGTGTTGAGCACTTAGCTTATTCCCATTTTTATTATAAATAAATAATAGCATTGTGTTGACATCTTTGTACATGAAGATTTTCCTCCATTTCTGATTATTTTCTTGAGATAGACTCCCAGAAATGGGATCACTAAAAAGCCTGCCATTTTAAAAACAACCTGTTTCCTTCGACTCCGCATAGTGTCTTCTTTCTAAATATGAAAAGTCTTTTGCCTTGATACCCTATATTATATCAGGCTGTACTGGACATTTCTGGTAGAAAAAAAATCTGATCGCTACTGATGCAAGGACATTGTACATCTTCACAATAGTAAAATTGATGATACAAAAAAACGTAAAGCCTAAAGCTTTGCCTGTTCTTTCCCCATTTATCAGTTGCTATGGCAACGCTTCTCTGAGGGTAGTATACACTGTTCGGCGGGGAGTTTTCCACAAGCTGCTTTCTTTCGTCTGCAGCTTCTATGAATTTTGATGGCTTTTTCTGGCCTCATTACAACAATTTGGCATTTATAGGAAGAGATGCACTATACGTACAAGAATAAAGTCTGACTCAGTTACTTCTAAAGTTTTATTATTATTTTTTAACCTAAGCTGCTGAGAGACAACCTGTGGCATTAGAACTAGAGGATTACATTGAACATAAAGTGAGTCTAAAAGTTATGTGGTGGATTTTGTTTTAAACAAACACCCTAAGCTGATCCATTCAAAGCATTGTCCTAGGCAAGGAGCTACTCTAAACGGTGAAGCACTTATTCCTACGATGCATCTTCACTCAAGATGTCCTAAGGCCTCCTCTTTTGAAACTGCCATCAGAGTCTCTGGCACATTCTTTTGAATATCCTCAATGAAGAAAAAAATGTTAATCCTTTGAGAAAGAATTGGATCTTTTCAGCCTTTCAGTGGTATTCAGAATCAAAGCTGAGAGGATAGTGGGATGAGTGGGAGTACGGACAAGATTAATGAAAATAAAACACCAATGTACTGTTACAAAACAATGAGACTGATTTTTTTGTGTGTGGCTAGTAAATGGCATAGTATAGGAAGACCAATATGCAAGAAAAAAGAGTTACATTTTAAGCCACAGCAGCATCCTTGGGACATATGGATCAACCATATTGAAGGCCAGGCTGAGGCACTATATACGCCAAGGTGTGTGACTGAGGCTCATTACTTACTGGAGGTATCATTTAAATTAAAATATTTACGTATGTTTACAGAAAAGTCAACTCTGACTTTATCACAAGAAAAGCAAAATCTATGTATTGAAATTTACGGGCTCGATTAATTGCAGCACTCTAGGGAGAACCCTGCCTCTTTTAAAACAACGCCATTTTATTCATTTAAAATAAGTAATACAGACTCATTATAGAGAATTTGGAATAATCCAGGAATATCGTCACTCAGAGATGTTCCCTCATGATATTTTGATGTAAAAATATCTTGGATTGGCTTCCCTGGAAACAGACTCTGAAACAAAAGCTGCATGCTGAATGTTTATTGGGCGAGTGCTGTCTCGAGACGCTCCTGTAAGGAGTGAGGGAGAACCGTGCAGACGGAGAGTCTGACTCCACATGCAGATGCCACTGGGACTCCGCTGACTGTCGGGGGAGCGGGAGCTGGAACGGCCTTTCAGAGCGATTCCAAATTAAGGTAAGTGGGCAGGCCTTTGTGTCCCTGCATCAGCAAGTCATTGGCCCCCTGGAGGGGCTAATTTTGGGTGAGCCTATTTCCTAGGGCCGAGAACAATTCCCAGTGAGGGATGCAGCTGTGAGCTATCAGCAATGATATTTGCAGCAGCTGGGGAGGGCTAAGCACTCCAAAGGGATTTGGGTGAAGGGTATTATCCACTGCAACATCGCGTCAAAACTGGGATCACACCATACATGCAACTCCACAGCCCACTTTTTCTCTTAACATTATTTGCTAAATTTTTCTTATTTCATTAACTTCTCTTTGAAGACATTTTAAATAGCTGCCTATTTTATCACATGGAAATATTTATTTAACCATTCTCTTATTGTTGAACATATAATTTTTGATAAATTTTCACTGTAATAAATAATGTTACAACGAACATCTTTGTCTTTTTCACGTACATGGTAATAATAAAAAGAACCTACATTTAATTGAGTGCTTATTACTGACCAGGTAAGGCCAATATTTTTCTTGCCTTCCTTGAGGAATTTTTGAGGAATAAATGAAAAAACGCTATGTAAAGAATGTTACATTTAATAACTCATTCAATCCTTTTAACAACAGCGCGATGCAGAGAGTATTATCATCTCCATTTTGCAGATGAGGAACCCAAGGCACAGAAAGATTAAGTAACTCCTCTAAAGTTCCACAATTGGTGAGTATTAAAATACAGTCACTGTAAATCCAGAGATTAGGCAATACGCTATACTACTTCTCTCATCCTGCTTTTCTGGGGATTTTCCTAAGTTTGTATCCTCAGAAGGAGAATTCTGAGGTCAAAGGGCTTGACTTATTTTAAAGCTCGTGATAAGAATTGCCAGATTATTTCCCAGAAGTAATGAGCACTCCCATCAGCAGAGTGTGAGGGTTTTTCTCACCATAGTCAACAAAGAAAAACCCAAATCCTTAATTAGAACGGTGATAAAGAATGAGTAATCCATTCGCTCGTCTTCCATCAGGCCTTATGAACATTGATTGTTCTTAAGCAGAAGGCTTTGCTTTTGTTTTTTTAGCGTGCTCCATTATTTCAAGACTATCTTCTAAGCATTCACTAAAATGTACCACCTACATTTCCAAGAAGGATTTTTAATTTATGGAATGAATGTGTGAATGAGGGCAGAGACAGGGCATGAACCAGCAACCTTCTACTGCATTGGGAGCTGTGGAAAGCAGGTGAGTGAAAATCCTGCAGAATAAAGTCCTCCAAAAACAGGGAAGTGGTTTTGCCACTTGGAAATTTTTCCAAAAATTCTTCACTAGGGTCTTTCATAGTCTCATTTGAATTGCTTATTTAATAAACATTTAGTCAACATCCCTTACCTGCCAGCTCCTATCACGTGCTTGGAAACATCGACTTTTCCTACTGGAATGAACTTTAGGGTCCTCTGGCCCCACCCCTTATTTCAAGGAGGAGGAGCTTGAAGCCACTGCAGCCCAGTCAGGGCATTTCCCTCTTCTAGGGGTGGGGTTGCAGGAACTGAGGGTTCTATATCATTCAGTCATGGTCAGAGGAGCCCTTCTGGAATGTGTTAGAAGGCACCTGGCATTATTTTGAATTATTTTAACATTGGCTTAGACTGGTCTTACCTTCAAATAGCTCAATATCTAATTTAATTCTGAATTTTGAAGGATTTCTTTGGAAAACCAAGTTTTTCACTCAATGTTGGCCTTTGGCATTGTATTGAACCTCTCCAAGTTCATCTCCTTACCACCCCCTCTTCCACATAGGTTTTTGTGAGGCTCAAATGAACCAAAGTAGGTATAATTCTTAATAAAATACTTTCACAGAGTAAGCGCTCTATAAACATTGGCTTCAGCCCCCTTCCCTCTCCTGTGTCCCCTACTCTTGCTTCTTCCCAGAATGGTGTATAGTTGGGTGACCTTTCTGAACTTCAATATCCTCATTTGAATAAAATACAGACTATACTTCACTATATATTCACTACATAGAGTTCACTGGAGATCAAATGAGGTAATTGGTGTGAAATCTCTGCTACAACCCCTGGCACAGAGCAGGCAGTTAAAATTTGCAGCTGTGATCACCTTAATGCTTGTTGGTATGCATTAAGTCAGTTGTTTAATTGGCTGGGCTGTCTAAAGGAATGGATCCTAGGCACTTGATTAATTTTCAGTCCTGGTGAATTTAGGCAAAGGATAGAACCTCCATAGAAAGAGTATAAGATTTAGATTTTATGGGTGAAGTAAGAATTTCAATCCAGTTATCTTCAATTTCTGTGTTTTTTTCATTTCTTTTCTTGATTTCTTCTTTCCCTTTCTCATACTCTTCATTTTTTTTTTTTCTTGACAATAACTGTAGTGTGCCTTTCCTTATGATTTGCTTTGAGGGATAATTTGTGCCAGTGATGAACGTTGAAATTACTGTTACCAGGCCATGTGGGATCTCAGTTGCTAAATCTGGTCGATTGGTCCTCTTGGCCTTTGGCACCATTTAACACAGCTGAACCCTCCCTTACCTGGGCCTTAAGGACATGACTCTCTCCTTTCTTCCTGTTTTGCCTCTATTCAAATCCTTCAAGGTCTCTTCCTCTTCCTTGGCCGACCATGTAAGTTCTGAAGTTCCCCTGAATTTTATGTGTGACCATCTTCTTTCCTTATTTCTCATTGTTTTCCTGAGCGATCTTCTTTCCTCCTATGATGTGTGATACATCTTTATTATATTGAGTACCAAATCTGAGTCTCTGACACAGACTGCTCAGCACCGTTCATGGCTGGACACATCCTCTTGGATATGCCACTGGAAAGTACAGCTCGATGTGTAGAGAACAAAACTCATTCATCATTATTTTCCCCCAAACCAGCTTCAGCTCCAATCCTTAGCCTCTATGCAACTACCAGTACAAAAATGATCAGTCCAGGCAGCACAGTCAAGTGAATAAGTTAAGTATTTTGCCTTTTCTGAGTAAAATCTCTCTCACTTTTCCAATGTCACCTTCTCCATGAAGGCTTTGATTCACCCCATCATTCTCTTTTCTGTACTATCTGTGCATTATGATAGCACTTACTGTATTCTATTGGTGTGCTTCATCTATATTTCTTTTCTTCTAGACCAGGGGTCAGTATACTTTTTCGGTAAAGGGCCAGAGAGTAAATATTTTAGGCTTTGTGGGCCATATGGTCCCTGTTACAACTACTCAACTCTGTGGTTACAGTGTGAAATCAGCCACAGACAAAACATCAATGAAATGAGTGTGGCTGTGTTCCAATAAAACTTTATTTACCAAAATAGTCAGACAGCTGAAATTGTCCCATGAGCTGCGGTTTGCTGCCCCTGTTCTAGACTCTGGATTCTTCAAGGGTTACTTAATAACAATTTAAAGTTTAGAGACCCTTTTACCTCCCAGAGGCTGTAAGAGGCCTGAGGATCCAAAATCAAGTAAGACTCAGTTCTTGACCTCAAGGAGCTCACATGGAAACCAAGCACACATGCTGTGATGGAGGTATGGATGAGTCTCATGGGCTGCCATAACAAAGTACCATCAACTGGGCAATTTATTGTCTAAAAGTTTTGGAGCCTAGAAGTCCAAAGTCAAGGGGTTGGCGGGGTTGGCTCCTTCTGAGAACTGTAAGGGACAATCTGTTCCATGCCTCTCTCGTAGCTCCTAGGGATTTGCCAGGAATCTTTGGCATTCCTTGGCTTTTCAATGCATCACTCCAATCCTCTGCCTTCACATGGCGTTCTCCCTGTCTCTTCACGTAGTCTTCCTTCTGTGAAAGTCTGTCTCTGTGTCCAAATTTCCACTTTTTTTTTCTTCTTTTTTTTCCAGTTTTTTTTTAATTGAGTTATTGATAGGTTACAATCTTGTGAAATTTCAATTGTACATTAATGTTTGTCAGTCATGTTGTAGGTGCACCACTTCACCCTTTGTGCCCACCCCCTACCCCACCTTTCCCCTGGTATCCACTAAACTGTTCTTGGTCCATAGTTTTAAATTCCTCATATGAGTGGAGTCATACACAGATTATCTTTCTCTCTCTGGCTTATTTCACTTAACATAATTCTCTCAAGGTCCATCCATGTTATTGCAAATGGAATGATTTTGTTCTGTTTTGCAGCTGAGTAGTATTCCATTGTATATATGTACCACATCTTCTTTATCCATTCGTCTGTTGATGGGCACTTAGGTTGCTTCCACGTCTTGGCTATTGTAAACAGTGCTGCAATAAACATTGGGGTGCACAGGACTTTTGGGATTGCTGACTTCAGGCTCTTTGGATAAATACCCAGTAGTGGGATGGCTGGATCGTATGGTAGTTCTATTTTTAGTTTTTTGAGGAATCTCCATACTGTTTTCCATAGTGGCTGCACCAGTTTGCATTCCCACCAGCAGTGTATGAGGGTTCCTTTTTCTCCGCAACCTCTCCAACATTTGTTGCTATTAGTTTTAGATATTTTTGTCATTCTAACGGGTGTAAGGTGATATCTTAGTGTAGTTTTGATTTGCATTTCCCTGATGATCAGCGATGATGAGCATCTTTTCATGTGCCTTTTGGCCATCAGTATATCTTCTTTGGAGAAATGTCTGTTCATGTCTCCAGCCCATTTTTTGATTGGGTTGTTTGATGTTTTGTGATTGAGTTGCGAGAGTTCTTTATATATTAAGGATATTAAGCCTTTGTCAGATATATGACTTGCAAATATTTTTTCCCAGTTAGTGGGTTGTTTTTTTGTTTCAATCCTGTTTTCATTTGCCTTGAAGAAGCTCTTTAATCTGATGAAGTCCCATTTGTTTATTCTTTCTATTGTTTCCCTTCTCTGAGAAGGCATGGTGTCCGAAAAGATCCTTTTAATACTGATGTCAAAGAGTGTACTGCCTACGTTTTCTTCCAGAAGCCTTATGGTTTCAGGTCTCACCTTTAGGTCTTTAATCCAATTTGAGTTTATTTTGGTGAATGGTGAAAAAGAATGGTCAATTTTCATTCTTTTACACGTGGCTTTCCAGTTTTCCCAGCACCATTTGTTGAAAAGACTTTCTTTGCTCCATTGTATGCCCTCAGCTCCTTTGTCAAAGATAAGCTGTCCATAGATGTGTGGTTTTATTTCTGGGCTTTCAATTTTGTTTCATTGATCTGTGCACCTGTTTTTGTACCAGTACCATGCTGTTTTGATTACTGTAGCTTTGTAGTATGTTTTGAAGTCAGGGATTGTGATGCCTCCCGTTTTGCTCTTTTTTCTCAGGATTGCTTTAGCAATTCGGGGTCTTTTGTTGCCCCATATGAATTTTAGGATTCTTTGTTCTAATTCTGTAAAGAATGTCATTGGGATTCTGATTGGGATGGCGTTGAATCTGTAGATTGCTTTAGGTAGAATGGACATTTTAACTATGTTTATTCTTCCAATCCATGTACATGGAATGTCTTCCCATCTCCTTATGTCGTCATCCAATTCTCTCAGAAAGGCCTTGTAATTTTCATTATATAGGTCCTTCACTTCCTTAGTTAAATTTACCCCAAGGTATTTTATTCTTTTTGTTGTGATTGTGAATGGTATTGTATTCTTGAGTTCTTTTTCTGTTGGTTCATTACTGGAGTATAGAAATGCTACTGATTTATGCAAATTGATTTTATACCCTGCAACTTTGCTGTAGTTGTTGATTACTTCTAACAGTTTTCCAATGGATTCTTTGGGGTTTTCTA